TATATTATTTGTTATATTTTTATTATTATTTTCACTTGACTCGCATAAATAATTTTGCTCGAAGAACATTTATATGCAGTCGTACTTCGCAGCACTTCACTTGCAATTTTCAATTTCTAGTTTATATTATTTACTGGTGTATTTTTTTATGTATACAATTTATCTGTAATGTTAATCACGGTGTGTCCCGCTTTTGAACAAAAAGTCCTACTTTAAGAATCAATGTGTCCCGCTTTTGGGCTTTGGGGGGGTTGGAATGTCTGACATCGGTCACCGGTTCTGCGAAATGCCTAGGCAATTAGGTGGTATATGCCATGTTCTCGAAAATTTCGTTTGAAATTTAGCGAAAATGGTGTCAGTTCCATCTGAGACAAAAAAAAAAAAAAATAAACGCTTCTCTTCAAACACCTCCTTCGAACTAGGGAAACAAATGTTTCTTGAGAAGTCGACGAAGTCGAGGCATTTAGGTACCGTACTCGCGCCCCGTTTGAATAACCGCCCCTAACGTGAAAATTTCCTTAAGCGCCCCATTTGAATAAGCCCCCCTCTAATTTGAATAAGCGCCCTTCAATAATATCATAAGATTATTTTTTAGCAAGTCAATAATCCAATCAATCCTGGGAATGTTTTTGTTGGCATGATTTGAGTTGCAGAGTGGAAACACATTCTTCTTAGGTCAATATCAGAATGAGGATATTTCTCTTTTGACAGATGAGAGCTCCGATCCCTGGACAGACAGTATTTCCAACTTTACTCTAGTCTTTACATATTTGTCTATGTCATCCATTTTCAAGGCCTTGTTGACATTGTCCTAAAAAACTTTAATTTAAAATAGAGGGCGTCCACTTGAGTTTTGCACTGCCATTGGAGTTTTGCATTGCCACATATGTTTTGCACTGTGACTCTCAGTTTTGCACTGCTGACTCTTGTGTTTTGCACTACTCAGTTTTGCACTGCTGACTCTCAGTTTTGCACTGCTGACTCTCAGTTTTGCACTGCTGACTCAGTTTTGCACTGCTGACTCTCAGTTTTGCACTACTGACTCTTAGTTTTGCACTGCTGACTCTGGTTTGCACTACTCAGTTTTGCACTGCTGACTCTCAGTTTTGCACTACTGACTCTTAGTTTTGCACTGCTGACCCTCAGTTTTGCACGTGCTGCCACTTGTATTTTGTCCTTTTGGCGTTCCATAGGATTCGCAAATTTATCGACTATGACACCTTTCATGCAGCAGTTCGTGCACTTGTTTTATCTAGAATAGATTACTGCAATTCATTGTACTCCGAGTTGACTGTAACAGATTCTTTAAAATTACAGAAGTTACAGAATTCTGCTGCACGTTTAATTTTTAACATCCGATCCTCTCATACTAACACATCACATCTTCTCCTTAAACTTCACTGGCTGCCTTTTACCTTCATCTGGCCATGTGTCAGTATAATCTTAGGTAAGCATGTGGTTCGCATAAGCTTCCCCCCCCCCCCAAATCCGCCCCTGTATTTTTTATATAAAAATATCTTTAAACTGGGCGAAGGTCTGGATCCGCGCCTGTCAACAAATGATTTTCTTTTCTTGTGCGCGTCTAGATACTACAATGTCAAGGCTATATTATAAACTGATAGAAACAACAAAACAGAAACAATATGAAGACTCAAGAAGACGATAAACTCATAAACTAAAAAAAAAAATACATTCAAACTTTGTTATTGTCAAGAAACTTTATTGAAAAACCAAACACATTAATGAAACTTACATTAAAACATTTTTTTAAAAAGCTGACATAGAGGATAAAAATTGAGTTCTTGTTTGTATGTCTAGTCCGTTCTGGTAGATGAGACACTGTACTGTACTTTTGGTGATGGTTAAGTATTATGTGACAATAAAATGATTGAATGTATAAATACTTGAATGAACTAACCTGCCGCTAGTGCAGGGGCGTATCTAGGAGTCTTGGAATGTGTGTTTTGGGGAGAGGGGTGCTGTGATTGGGGGGGGGGACGTGAGGAGCGTCGATTCAGTAAGGGAAACAAGCTTGCAAAATTAGGTTATTTTTTACTACTTAAGCATGATCATTTTATGCTTGGCAATAGAGAAAAGAACGACTGGGGTGTTGTCTCTTATACACATCTAGATGTGTATAAGAGACAGATATATATATATATATATTCATAAAACTTCTTTCCACAATGATCACATAGATGTGTATAAGAGACAGTAAATATATGTCCAACCGAGTTTATACGCCACTGCACTTTTAGTTTATACGCCACTGTTCTTAGTGCCACCACCATCAAAGTCGTGGAAGTTTTAATAATATACACTCACAAATCTTTACGGGTGTCCATAAAACGAAGACCCAAAAACGAAGACACTACCCCCACCCCCCTTCATTACATCAGGCTGTCATAAAATCTCATTACGACATTACTTGGACGCCTGCTTGTGAAATTAACAAGGGTCTTCGTTTTAAAAACACCATATATGGGTGTGTACAAAACTAAGACCGAAGACCTAAAATACAAAGACCTCTAATTATTTCTCAATTATCTTTTTGGAAGTATTTTCCAAATCATAAAACCATCACCAAGCACTCATTAATCATTTCATGAGAATATTATGAGGAATTCCATAAAACTTCGGATTGAAGCCCAGGGCTTCTCTTTTTTGCAAACTTTGGATGGGCTTTTCGAGATGTGCTTCTTTTCGAGGCTACTTTTGCAAAGTAAAGAGGGGGCTCCGTTTCAAAAAGAATGCTATGTAAATTTTGTGAATTTATCCTATAAAACAATAAATAAAGGCCACTGTAACATTAATCTGTATGATGGAGTGTATTTAACTGAGCTTAAATCATCAAAACTACTGTATAAACCAAGCTTGTTTTCAATTTATTTTGTTTTTTGAAATTCATGTAGAGTGTATGTACTGTACTATGCTATCTTCAAAAGAAACCCATTTTCCTTTCTTCGAGATGAGCTTATTTCCGAGACTAATTTCGCAAACTGAAGAGGGAGCTTCAATTCAAGATGGGCTTCATCTCGAGAGTAAGCCCACTGGGCTTCCAAGTCGAGGTTTTACGGTATCAAGAAATAACCCAAGGGTTCGTTTTTCAGGTCTTCGGTCTTCGTTTTATACCGAGGGTGTCCATAAAACGTAGACACTTGATAACTTAATAATGATTAAAGGTAAAATATGGGGTTCTTTGTTTTTCGGTCTTCATTTTGTAGACACATATTAGAGTGTCTATAAAACGAAGACCCTTGATTATCTCTTGATATTACTCATATTATTCCCATGAAATGATGAAAGAGTTAGGCATACTTGGCAATAGTTGATTATTTTTTTACATAATAACTGGAGGTCCTCGTTTTGTACGTACCCATATGGATGTCCCTTGATAATTTAACAGACGTCCAAATACTTTAATCTGATAATTTTAATTATGTGACAGCCTGATGTATTTTCATTAAATTAAATGAGTAAAACATAGGGGTCTTCGTTTTTGGATATTCGGTGGTCTTGGTATTACAGGCACCAGGATGGAGGGACAGTGTGCCACATATAACTGTGGGAAAAGAACATTCAACCTGCTGCTCTCTCACTATTAAATAATATTATGACCATTTTCATGATAACCTGCAGCTACATTATTAATAGGTAAATTTCTAAAAAAAAATTATAACTCTTTGATCGTCCACGAATCATTCTTGGAAACACAACTTCAAACAAACTCAGTGTATGAATCAAAACCTTGATTTATAATATATATATATATATATATATACACTATGTAATTATATACATATATAATTTTATATAAAATTATATATATATATATATTTATATATATATATATATAATATAAATTACCATATCTATTTGATTTAAAAGCCCGCTCTGCATAACTGCCACTTTTAATATCCCCCTCTTTTGCAATAACACTACTGTACCATTTACAACTACATAATTTAGTTTTATTGTTCGATTACCTAAATTTTATAATTCTCTTGTTGATAAAGATAATTCTATTGATATTTATTATGATTCATTTAGAACGTTTAAACGTAAAATTAAGTTATATATTTAGATTTTTGACTTTTTTTGTGTGTATTGTAACTGGATTGTTCTTTATTGTTGTCTTTGTTTTACGTTATTCCATTCTGTAAGTGGCGGGCTCCCCGCTGTTGATTGTGAAATGAAATAAAATAAAGTAAAATAAAATTTATCTGGCCTCTTATGTTTGCCTAAATATCTACTCAAATTACTAATGTACTGTCTAACATGAATAAATGAAATGAAAAAAAAATGAACCATATCACTTTCATTTACAGTATTTTTAAAAATGTGTATCCCTTTGTATGTCTTCAAAATACAACTTTAAATATTTAACTTCTTTCCATTATGTTTACATACATAAGGTATATACCAGTGCATAACCTAAAAATGTGTTTTTAACTTACTGTAATATATTGATTGATTTTTAACTACCACTGTGATTAAATTAATTTCTGCAATGTTCACACACATAAAATGTCTTCACAATGCATATCTTCAAATGTGTTTTCAAGCTACCATTGTGATGAAATCTCTTTTTCCAGTCTTCACATTCATAAGTATTTCTTCAGTGTGTATCCTCAAATGTCTTTTTGAACTACCACTTTCATAAGCTGTCATCTCTCCAGTTTGTATCCTCATGTCCTTTTAAACTACTACTTTTATTTAAACCTCTTTCCACAATGTTCACAATCATTGTGTCTATCTTGTATGTACCCCCTCAAATGTGTTTTCAAAAACTAGAACTTTAATTAAACTTCCTTCCACAATGTTCACATTCATAACCTGTCTCTCCAGTGTCTTTCTTTAAACATCTTTTCAAAATACTGTACCTCTTTGATTAAAGTTCTTTCCACGATGATCACCTTCATCAGGTGTCTTTTTTGTATCATTGTGTGTACTAATGTATTTTCCATTTTCCACTGCGATGAAACGTCTTTCCACAATGTTCACACACATAAGGTGTCTGCAGTGTGAACCCTCAAATGTACTTTTAAATGTTCCTTTTGACTAAACTTCTTTCCACAATGTTCACACACATAAGGTTTCTCAGCAGTGTGTATCCTCAAATGTTTTTTCAAATTACCCTTTTCATAAAACTTCTTTCCACAATGATCACATTCATAAGGTGTCTCTCGAGTGTGTATCCTCAAATGTTTTTTCAAATTACCCTTTTGATTAAACTTCTTTCCACAATGATCACACTCATAAGGTGTCTCTCCAGTGTGTATCCTCAAATGTTTTTTCAGGTCCCCACTTTGTTTAAACTTCTTACCACAATGTTCACAATCGTAAGGTGTCTCTCCAGTATGTACCCTCAAATGTAGTTTTAAACTCCCACTTCGATTAAACCTCTTTCCACAATGCTCACACATATAGGGTGTCTCTGCAGTGTGTAACCTCAAGTGTTTTTTAAATTACTACGGTTATTAAACTTCTTCCCACAGTGTTCACACACATAAGGTGTCTCTCCAGTATGTATCTTTAAATGTTGTTTTAAACTCCCACTTTGATTAAACCTTTTTCCACAATGTTCACAAACATAAGGTGTTTCTCCAGTATGTACCCTCAAATGTACATTTAAATTACCCTTTTGATGAAACCTCTTCCCACAATGTTCACACACATAAGGTGTCTCTCTAGTGTGTAACCTCAAATGTAGTTTTAAACTCCCACTTTGATTAAATCTCTTTCCACAATGTTCACATACATAAGGTGTTTCTCCAGTGTGTACCCTCAAATGTACTTTTAAATGTTCCTTTTTATTAAACTTCTTCCCACAATGTTCACATACATAAGGTGTCTTTTCAGTGTGTAACCTCAAATGAATTTTAAAACGTTCCTTTTGATTAAAAATCTTTCCACAATGTTCACACACATAAGTTGTCTCTCGAGTGTGTATCCTCAAATGTTGTTTTAAACTCCCACTTTGATTAAACCTTTTTCCACAATGTTCACACACATAAGGTGTTTCTCCAGTATGTACCCTCAAATTTGCTTTCAAATTACAACTGCTATTAAGCTTCTTCCCACAATGTTTACAATCGTAAGGTGTCTCTCCAGTATTTATCCTCAAATGTAGTTTTAAACTCCCACTTTGATTAAACTTCTTTCCACAATGTTCACACACATAAGGTGTCTCTCGAGTGTGTATCCTCAAATGTTTTTTCAGGTCCACACTTTGTTTAAACTTCTTCCCACAATGTTCACAATTGTAATGTGTCTCTCCAGTATGTACCCTCAAGTGTAGTTTTAAACTCCCACTTCGATTAAACCTCTTTCCACAATGCTCACACATATAGGGTGTCTCTGCAGTGTGTATCCTCAAGTGTTTTTTGAAATTACTACGGTCATTAAACTTCTTCCCACAGTGTTCACACACATACAGTAAGGTGTCTCTCCACTATGTATCTTTAAATGTTGTTTTAAACTCCCACTTTGATTAAACCTCTTTCCACAATGTTCACACACATAAGGTGTCTCTCTAGTGTGTATCCTCAAATGTTGTTTTAAACTCCCACTTTGATTAAACCTCTTTCCACAATGTTCACAATCGTAAGGTGTCTCTCCAGTATGTATCCTCAAATGTTGTTTTAAATTCCCACTTTGATTAAATCTCTTTCCACAATGTTTACATACATAAGGTGTTTCTCCAGTGTGTACCCTCAAATGTACTTTTAAATGTTCCTTTTGATTAAACTTCTTCCCACAATGATCACATACATAAGGTGTCTTTTCAGTGTGTAGCCTCAAATGAATTTTAAAATGTTCCTTTTGATTAAACATCTTTCCACAATGTTCACACACATAAGGTGTTTCTCCAGTATGTACCCTCAAATGTACATTTAAATTACCCTTTTGATGAAACCTCTTCCCACAATGTTCACACATATAAGGTGTCTCTGCAGTGTGTATCGTCAAATGTTTTTTCAAGCTCCCATTTTGATTAAACTTCTTCCCACAATGTTGACATACATAAGGTGTCTCTGCAGTGTGTATCTTCAAATGTGTTTTTAAATTACAACTGTTATTAAACTTCTTCCCACACTGTTCACAATCATAACGTGTCTCTCCAGTATGTATCCTCAAATGTAGTTTTAAACTCCCACTTTGATTAAACCTCTTCCCACAATGTTCACACACACAAGGTGTCTCTTTTGTATCATTGAGGTATTTTGTGTGTACCCTCAAATCTGTTTTCACTTTTTTACTGCGATGAAATCTCTTTCCATAATTTTTACACACACAAAGTGTCTCTTTTGCATGTCCTCTCAAATGTGTTTTCAAACAACCACTTTGATTAAACTTATGTGTCTCATCTTTATAAGTCCTTGGCTGTGTTTCCAAACTTCCATTGGAAAACTGTTGACATGTGTAAGATGTTATTGTTGTGTGTACCTTCCTATCAGTTTTAAAATAAGAAATTTGATTTAAATTCTCTCCACAATGTTCACAATCATAAGGAGTATTGCCAGCATGTTTCTTCAAATGTCTTTCAATATCATGTGTTTTCAGAGCCAATATTTTAACTTCATATCGTCTCTCCCTTGCATGTATTATTAAATGTCTTAACAACTCATCATAATGCTTGAATTTCTCTTCGCAATGTTCACATTCATATGGCATTTCGTCAGTGTGTATCATCAAATGTACTTTCAAATCATTTTTTTTTTGTAAATTTCTTTCCACAATTTTCACATTTTGGTGCTAAAGTTGCCAGTTCATTTCTCAAAAAACACTGTCATCTCCTATACTTTGCTCATAGTTGTGAAAAACACAGCACTGACCTAAAAGATAAAATTCAATATAATTGTGTAGATTTTAGTGAATTCTGATTTCCATAGAATTGCTATGCTATCTCTACACCAATAGCTACACTATATAGGCCTAGCTGCTATCAGGAAGGCTGCATGATTTGTTGGCGACAAATCGGCAGAGTTAAACCATGTCCAACTCTCCTGATTCATCAGTGACAAATTGTAACAATTGACCAATCATCAGCTGAATTCACTAAACGTCATCAGTTTCTCCTCAATACGATCATCAGACTGTACTTCTCGCATTTTGCAAATTCCAAAAAAAAGTTCATATTTCCGCTGTTTATAAAAATATCATAAATTTATACTGACAAAGGGCTTATAGTGTGTTCTTCAAGTACAGTAAAACAAAATTGTTGTACAAACATAAAAGAAAAACCACACATAGTAACATTATTGTGTTTAAACGGAAGTTTTCTTTTTACTATCATATGGTGAACAAATTTTTCCACCTCCACAAAAAAATGTACTGAAAAATTAAATATTATAATACACTCCAGGCATAATGCATGTTTTTAGGAATAGTTATTAAAGTGGGGCACTACTCAAACGTTGGCCACTTACTGTATATACTAAAAAGTGCAAACTTTCTAGCAACTTTCTTTCATTAGAATATCTATAGTATTTTGCTATTAAAGTAGGTATGCAACATAATAAAGTTGCTGTTAATGTAAGAATAACATATTTTTGGATTCGTAAAATGTGTCTGTAGTGCAACATGTCAAAAACCTCATTTACTTTTTGAGTATACTGCACTTGTACAGATATATTTTATGCTGTGGAAGTGAAATTCCTGTGTAAAATGGAGTGTGTTATGGTTCATTTCATTTGACATGCATGCCAAATACAATGGGTTGACAGATGACCAATAGCACCTTACCCAATAAGAGAAATTTTGACCTAGTTTCTGCAGTATTCTCATACTCCTATCAGAAATTTATTTTTTTAAATACAGTTGAATAAGTTGAATTTACACCAGAGATGAGCAGTGAAAAGGCATGCTGCATTTTTGGCCGTTAACAGAACTGGTCCATGGCACCCGGCTTTTGGAAAAAAAACCCGGGTTATAATTCCTGCTGGTTTGTTGAATAGCGTTGGGTTCCTAAATTATTTATTGCCCTGAAGCCCATGAGATGAAGTGAGTGATTGTAATGGGTTTCTTGTTTACATTCCGATGGCTATATGTTGCTGGCCAGGACTCTCTTGTTAACTCCCAATGGACATTCTTAAAACCAATTAAAGTTAAGTTTATGTAGCTGCTAACAGCTCCATCTGGACCATTTGACAGCTCACTCTCAACTATCAGACACCTCACTATGGACCATTTCTGCTAACGGGTACTTTTGCCTCATGGAGTATAAGGAGAATGAAATTTCATAAATGTGTGGGGAATATTTCTGATGTGTTGTTGGGTGTATTGCGGCTAGAGTGTGGTATTATCATTTAATCAAAAATTACTGGCCTATGATCACATATGAAATAAACTAACCTGTTTCTTGCTCTGTTCGTTCTGACATTGCTACAAGTCAAAATCTTTGAAGTTGACTTTTCAAATTTTGTCCCTAGAATCAATAATAGCAAAAAAATAATTATGCAGTTAATAGCAAGAACCAGTTATGCCCCGATGATCAAGGACCAACAAGTTCTGCCCTAATTAGATCTTGATTTCAAACATCAAAAATAAAACAAGTTTTCAATCTTTTACGATCTTCACTCAAGCACCGTAACACAACAGTAGCGAGACCAAAGACCATGGTTTTAGACCAATATAAAATAACTAGTGCTGTTACTATAACTTTTTTCTAAAACATTTTGTCATATGACTTGAATATAAAATATTTAGCTGATGCACATCGTAAGATAAGATCTTGTGTGCTGTTTGTTTACATTGAATATAATAATAGCTTTAGTGGGATTTTTTTTTCGCGATTTACCATGTATTGCTATGTTTATGTACACGTTTACATGTAAAAGTTTGCTTCAGTTTGTTCATCTCACTTTTTGAATGCAAGAATTTTATATCCAATATTGACCACTTTTCTAGGGAGTTAAGAGAAGAAACTTCTAATGTAGGATTTCTGCAATAATTTGCCAGACGATAACTATCGCAGATTTCTCATATGAGGAAACATAGTGAAGTAACAAAAGTGAGTAAGTACAGTGGTAGTATTTAACTACTTATGTTCAAAAGCTTGTTTCATAAGTATTGTTTTGACTTTCAAAATATAATTATCCAACACTAGCTTCCATAGTCAAGGCATATTTACGATTGCCTTTACTCTTCAGAGCAATCAGGAAAACACCTCACGATATGCTGGGTTCAAGCTAACCGATCGCCAAGTCGTCATGGGCGAAAAAAATTTTGAATTGGCAAAACAAAAAATTTTAGCCATTTTGGTGAAAGCTTAAAAATAATAAAAAAAAATTTTTTTAAATACTTGCTGAAATACATTGTTTGTTTCGTCCGACCTCTCCATGGAAATATTTTTACATCGGCACGATCAAGGCAAAGATATCCATTTTACGCTACTCCATTGCCATGCGACGTTTATGTGTTGTTCTATTAGTGTGACTACAAACGTCAGTGTGTGCATCGCAAATTATTTTGTTATTATAAAGTGGGCAGCGTAACAATCAGTGGCTGGATGGTAACGACTACAGTACCGACACAAAATACTGCATTTTTACCTGCGCGCAGGCTTCGTAGATACATCGTAGCCTGATATAAACAATCTAAGCAAAGCCGGCTACGCGAAGCGAACCTATGAAGCAAAAGCATGTTGTTTATTTGTATTTGCAGACAGACTGCTGTAGCTTACTGGAATAAACAATGTATTGCTTGATAATTAGTTAATGACAAGCGCAAGTTTAGACCGTTAATTTAAAGTATGGAGTAAAATTGACTTCAAAGGAATCTCCTCTTCGTCTCGCTGTCTACGAGTCGACAGGAACTTGTTTGTACTGCTGATTATTTTTTTTTTATTAACTGTTAAAAAAAGCCCTCAATGACAATACACAGACGTGAAAAGATTGTTCATCAAATAATACTTTGTAGCCTTTATTTAGTACGATAAATAATAAATATAGAAAGAGTTAACGTCCGTTAATTGTAAAATTACCGAATGTCACATGTAAAACCCAATGGAAAATAAAACTTGGAAAAATGCCAGTTCATCTTGTCAACCCCAAAAATCCGGCATCGGACAGAGTGCGCGCCAATTAGAACACAGTAAAGTGTGTTAAAGGTTAACCTCGTGGCAAATGTTGAAAAGCTGTGAGCGACAGTGAGTAAAAGACGAAGAAAATGCAGTCTAGCATGACTAGCCTTACTTCAGCAAAGTAATGATTTCTGTAGTTCATTAGTATTGGATCGCTTAGCAGGTTCTGCTTCAAATTACGGTAAACAATAAACAACGTGATCTTTAAGTAGAAATCGTAATAATTTGTACATGATTTGTCATTAGTATTATTATTTAAAAGAAGAAAGTTCCTACTACCAGAACAATATCAGATCAAAATTCTCCGTATTGGAAAGTTAAAAATTATAAATTACTGTCTGCTGTCCTCCTCTATATGGGAAAATGTAGGTCGTAGGCCTAAATGACATCGAAATTCGAACATACTGACGGCCCACTTGGTTACCTAGCTATCGAACTAAACACAGTTTTAAAACATGATCGATCTAATAATAAGGTAGGAACAAAACAATAAGTTCTAACATTGTTCATTAGTAAATTGCAACATTGTTCACGCTGAAAGCTGGTAAACTATATTTCAATATTGTTTACGCATTGTTTATCAGCCCAACGATCCAGCCTACGAAGTTTGGAAAGCTAATTAAAATAACAATGACTTTCGTAGTGGTTCGTAGCTACGTTCAAAACATAACCTATGAGCAGATTACAAGAGGTTACGTGGAGATACAAAGCAGTACTGTAATTCCTGTCTGTACTGTAATTTCTATGTTCACGACAGTCGGCTAGCGGTTAGCGTGCCCCAAATGCCCAAGTGCACACACAACAACAGAACTAAAGCAGCCGACTGTCGGGTAAATAATGGCTTTCGAGCTTGGGGGTTTTTCCTTGAATGCTTGAATGATTTCAATGGCCAGGCCGTGATTTTTTTTTCGTACGAAACATTTGCATGAAACTTCACTCGGGCCATTTAAGTGCATGATAAGTGGCTAAACATTTTAGCCAATTTTGGCTAAACAAATATCCAATTGGCTTAATTTTTTTTTCTAGCTTTAGCCAATTGGCTAAACAAAAATGAAAGTTAGAGTGAACCCAGATATGGCAGCACTAAAATTGAGTACAGCCTACATTACATAACAATTTCAAAGCTAAAAATTGGTTATTCACGCATGTCCCCAACCAGAGAGTTGTTATATAACAACTCCCTGCCCCAACTTAGATGAATCCATCATGGATTGATTAAACTTATGATACAAATTGGTATAATTTAAATAAAAAAAAGAAAAAATGATTTACATAATGCGACCAATCAGATTTTGGCGAAAAAAATCTGCTCTAGAGTCCCCCACTGTAAAGTTGCATCTTCAGATGTTAATGGTGCTGTTTAAAAATAGTATGCCACCAATAAAATGTAAAAATAATAATTATCATCTACACTTGCTACATCTTTGCAAAACTGAACATAGAACCTCATTGACATAATGAGAATGGATGCTGAAATTTTAAAGTAGAAATGAAGCCATTAAAAATTATGAAGTCAGCGAAGACCATATGATTACAGTACTATGCAAGTTTGCCCACGTATGCTATTGTCGGGTAGCATATTGGGGTTATA